GGGGGGGGAGGCGAGAAGGAGTGAGACGAAGTCAAGCTAGTGGTGAGAAAGGCAGAACCGGATGCACTTGCACCGTCACGGTGGGCTTCAAAATAAAAGTGATTCTGTCTACTTCCGCTAAGGAAGTGAAACCGTTTTTCATTGATTGCTGAAAAGGGACGTGCGTTTGATCTTGGAAACAGTCATCTAATTTAAATCCATGGTAATGGTGCGGTGTTCATTTGCAGTGTCAGTTCACAAGAATCCTGGTTATTTTACAAAAGATTGGTTGGTTTACATTAAATTGATGTCAATTTATGCTAGCTCCAACTTAATTGAAGCGAAATCTATGCTAACTCAGGATGAATCCATGTTCATTCATGATAACATTTAACGTGCAATGACTCAAACATAAAAGCCCTTCCATACATATTTACATACAGATGTATGTATATGTTTATATGTTAAGATATGCTAAAATTATGTTAAATGACAACATATTTGTGTTAGAATACAATAACTGCCTCAAGCTATCATTTTTAATATTTAGCTTGGTAGCAAAGTGCACACAGCACAATTCACCGGCTCCAGGATGATAAATCCTGTCCGGACATCTGTCAGGCTCGGTGACCCCGCACAGATGTGTGAGGTGTCACGAGTTCACCGTGACGCTTGTCAATCCGCATCGACCCTGCTTTGCCTTTGACAGACGGCTGCAAAAACCACATTCAATTATTACATTTTAACACCGCGCGACGCCATAACTGTGCTGCGTCGTACTGCAGAGACGGTCCTAACGGCTTGGTTTGGAATGTGAAAGGTTTACGTTCATTTACAAGCAAGTGATGTTGATTTACAATCAATTTAGTTTAGTTTATGATAAATCCACATTGTGAGGACTCCGGGTCAATTCAGAACAAATCGACATGAATTTATGCCAGCTCTCTGTTACATTCTGACAAAGTCACATGAATTAAGGTAATTTACGATAACCCTCATTCATGTCAGATGTCTCCGCCTGAAATGACAATAAATCCTTGTGAATTCACAATAATAATCTGTCTTGAATTACAATACAGTGAGCCCACGCTCTTTGCGGAAGATGAGTCGGCCGAAGAGTACCAAAAAGTTGTGGATAATTGAGATCTACTATATTACTATACTATAAAGGGTAAATGCAGACAAAAAAAATATATGAAACCATCCAAATTCTTGAAGGTCCTGCTATAAACTATCAAAAAGTGTTTTCCATGAAAAAATGGGTTACCTTCCCGCACCCCCCAAAAAGTAAAAAAATAAAATAAAAAAAAAATTTAACAAAACAAAAATATGTTAACCTATGAAAAAGTATTTCATTAATTTATGAATTTGTGATCGATAAATTTTAACCGGTGACAAATCAACCTTAATTTACTGAGAATCCAAGTTCATTTTACAATCTATCCATGCTAACCGAACACTATAAATCCTTCTCCAGTTACATCATGGCGA